CCTCCTACCATTCATTCCCTGATCATCTCAGGCTAGACAAGTCTAGAGACAGAGCCATGTCATGGCCAGAAAAATTAACTGGGCCATTGCATAATTATATATTTTAAACAGTTAAGTCACTTGTGACCAGAGGCAGATGCTAGTCACTCCCTATTCCACCCCAATACTCAATCTATTACATTAAGATATTGCTTTATCACTAGATACAGCTTTGAGGGTAATCCTCTTATTAAATGTGTCAATTAGACTAAATGTTATAATCCACTACACAATAAAAGCATTGTCCATCCTTGTTTCTCAAACTCCCAGAAAGATCCTGGTGATATGGTCAGTCTGTCACATTCTTATTATTCAGTAACTTCCAAATGCCAGGTACTGTATATCGTGTAGCACCTGAAGTCTTTCTAAACACTTTTCAATGTTTACTTAGTGCTTCTTGGCTTGCAGCCAAGGAGAGGCAGAAGAATAGTTGAAAGTTGCCTAAAACTCTATGTTATTTTGGGGAAGCCACTGAAAAACTTGATTGTCTTCTTTTTCTCACAGAACAAACGTGAGGGGTTGACCTCTAACTCTGAAATTGACTCTCTACAGTTTGGTGAATGGAACAGTCAATTCTTTGATTTGTAAGTAACCATTTAAAGACTATTCCAAAAGCTCCACAAGAGGGCAGCACCTCCACACGTCAATGGCTGAAGAGACATTCCAAGCACCTTTGAGATTATTATGAAACCGCCTTTTTATGCAATATTTTACTTTTATTTCTTTTAATTATACAAGTAAGACACAAATATATTCCCACTTATAAAAATTCCAACATTACAGATCAATTTCAAGTTTCTTTTTATTGAGGTCAGGAGTTCAAGACCACCCTGAGTAAGAGCAAGACCCCATCTCTATTAAAATAAATAAATAAAAAATAAATAAAAACATCATTTCTCCAACTCTTTCATCCACGTGTAATTTGAACATCTTGGACCAGATTAGAACAGTAAATGGCCCAGTTAATGCAGAGAAGAGAAGCAAGAAAGGAATGATCAAATGTTTCACCCTACTGTGTTTTGGTTTCTTCTCTGTCCTCCACAATGTTAAGGGAATGTTTGCTGGTCACCAGCCAGAGTCATTCATATTTCATGTATATAAGAAAAAAATAAATATAATCATCTAACAATATTAATGTAAAGTGAGTTGTACCTATAGCAAATGTTCCTGAAGAAAAAGAGAGGTCCCTCATTGGGACCTCGTTGTGATTTAGAGACTGACTGGGCTAGAATGGGATGTCTGAGACTGAGGCTGGTACAGGGCAGGGTGGGGTGCATTCTGAACAGGGACTTCATGTGATGTAAATAACTGACTTCAGCCACAGCTCACATCTTCATTTCAGCCTTATGAGAGACTCCAAGCCAGAACCACTCAGCTAAGCTGCTCCTGAAATCTTGACCCACATAAACCGTGTGAGATAATACATGTGTTGTGTTTTAAGCTACTAATTTGGAGGGTAATTTGTCATGCAGCAATAGATAACTAATACGACTCCCAAATGTCCTCTAACTAAGCTGTAAGCTTCTCTGGATAACATCACATGGCTAGGGTTAGACTGGGAAAATTCCCAAGGTGCCAGACCCTCAGGCCGTGGTTGCTGACTGATGCTGCCATCTCCTCCCGGCCTCAGATACTCTAAAAGTGAAGGTCTCTTGGGAGGCCACAGAACCAATGGCCAGGCATCTTCAGGAGTAAATTAAAAAATAATTGCAAGTTGGGCAGAAAGCAAGAATTTTCTCAGGATCTTAGATAAATGGGCTTGGAACTCCCTTTGTGGCTGCTACCTTCTCCAATCCAGTTTCCAAATTGTTTTCTAGACCCATGTCAGGCTTCTTTTCCCTTTCCTACTTTCCTGTGTGTAAGGGATGCCTGAGTGTCAGAACTTCTTTTTTCATCCCCATGGATGAGATAAAATCACCTGCAAAGTCGACTCACCGAAAGGAGACAGGGATCTTGACAGTGGGTTGTGGGAACTAGGAGACAGGGCCTTAAATGATCTCCCCCAGCTCCCCAAAGGCGCTGGAGGCAGCCTGCTTGCCTTCACTCTGGGATGCCATGGTTTGATTTCTAAAAAGACAATCTGTGATGGCATTCCGGCCATAGGGAAGAAGTGGTCTTCACATTTGGAGGGTATTCTTCATTTTGATATATGACAATTCATAGAGTAGAGGGAACAGAGGGTCAGAACATTTAAGAACTGCTGGTGTGAGGAGACTTCTTAGAGAGAGGTCTCCGAAAATATTTTCCCTAAAACCACAGGATTTGCCACTGCAGGTTTTTGGTTTAAAACAAGAACGGAACACATGATTTTATAATGGAATAAACATGGTTAAGTCCCACTAGTTGTGCATGTTATTTAGCTTCTCTGAGTTAAGTTCTGTTTTTCAGAAGAAATTAATTGAGGAAATATATGTAGTGATCACCACAGTGTCAAACACTTAGCTTGACACTTGGTGTGCTTAGTTAAAATGCTTCCTCCCCATTCCTACGAAAGATAGTGATGAAGTTGCTGATAGTGATAAGCCAGGTCTGTTTTCTAACCCACCCTCATCTTGTTCATAGACTCCACGGAACCTCTCTGATTATTAGGCTCTTCTCCAACACAATGGTGAAAAATGTAACCCTCACTTACTGAATAGGGTGTGCCAGGCACTGTCCTAAGTCCTTTTTACTTGTACTAACTAACTCTCCTTAGATGCTCTCAGCCCCACAAGGTAGATATTATTATCATTTTGCATACAATAAAACTGAGGCAGAGAAAGGGCTGTATCAATGGGCCGAAGGTCACCCAGCTAGTAGGAGAGAGAACCAGAGCGAGCTCTCACCCAAGTGGTCTAACTCCAGAGCCCACATGCTTTTTTCTTTTTTTTTTTTTTTTTGGTGGAAAGTAAAATGCAAAACCAATGAAGAATCAGTAAAGTTGCTTGGAATAGCAAACAGTCATTGTGGTAGAGGAAATTCGTGCTCACTAATTGTAGGTAGGGCCGTGTAATTCATGTTCATAGATGGAAGGGAAGTGGACATTTGATAGATGTCCCTTTAAGCACTTTAAGTGTGAGGCAGTTAAAAACAAGTGTGTTGCTTCCATCTATTTTCTCACTTGAACTTCTAGAAACAAAGGACTCTGAGATGACAGAATTGCAAGTCTGAAACAACCTCTGTACCTGAACTTCTTGAGTGGAGCCAAACAGCAGTGCCTCCCAACATGCATTGAACTGTGATATGGCTGAAAATAAAGATTTTTTTACCTTGAGTATTGAATTTGGGGGTATATTTCTTACTGCAATATAGCCTCACGTGTCCTAACTAATGGTTATTAAATGATGATGATTATTTTTCTCAAATAAAATATAGGTAACCATGGGAGAAAAATCTCATGAATCTAATATCAAAAACTGAAGAATTCATTCTTCTTGGGAAAGAAAAAAGATATTATGACAGCCCCAGTGCTCAAGGGATTGGTTAAATGATACCAGATGGAGAAAGGAGCCAAGAGGCCGAGAAGGGGCTCCAAGGTGATCATGTCCTTGTGCAAGACTTCCCAGGACCCATTTTAGACTTCAGCTCCTAGGCAAGCTGGCTAAGCCTGGCGTCGAGCTTTATAAAACAATTCAAGTCACTGCCTTGGCCCATTACACTGGGCCCAGGCAGAGTCAGGGAAGACACTGTCCATAGTGGAGTAGCTTAGGATATGGAGGCCTACTAAGAAAGCCTCCCTGCAGAGGCCAAGTTTTCTCCCCTCCCTGTAAATTCAGGGACTTAGAATAGGCTGGGAAACCACTGTCCCAACTTTCTAGGCAGGAGGAAAGGAAAAAAAAAATTATAGGTAAAAAGCAGGAAGCTACTACTCTTCCTTCTGTCCCTCAACAAACCTGGAGATGTTTGGTCACTTTCCTCTACATTACGCTCATTTGACTGAAGACTCTTCAGATGTCAAATAACTCAGCATGGAAGGTACCAGAGGAGGCCCTAGAGCAATGACCTCTGAAGATGATGGTACTTCCAGTAATAACGGAAGAGATGCTAATGGTCCTGTTTATTCTCAGAACAGGGATGAGTCTGAAGCCTACAGAGGGACCACCATGCTCCTGGATCTGAGATAAGGAAGTGATAAGCATCATCAATAGTGCTGTCTCGTTCTAGATGGGGAAGCTGAGACTCTAAAACCACAGTGCACTAAAACCATAGTGCATTCTTGTAGGATGAGAACAAGGAGAGCTGGAGCTGTCTAACCACCTATTTGATCCTAGGCAGGTGAGTTGAGTTAATTTCTTTGGACCTCAGTTTCATTATCTTAAATACAAGATCTTAGTCATAAGATTTTGAACATGGGTAATCTCCTGGATATTACTCACATTCCTGGAACTGCAGAAATATGACAAAATTTGTTGGAGAACTGCAGACTGTAATCTACTTTGACACTCACCTTGATTTTAACCCCAGTTTCACCTCTTTTTATCTGAGCAAATTACTCAACCTTTCTGACTATTTCTTACTGTGAAAAATAACGGCATATTTCAGGGTAAGGTGACTTGATTCTTTTATCTGCTTCATTACTGTGCATTGAAATGTCCTCACCTGAGGCTAATCTTATCCAGAACTCCTTAGCTAAGAACTATGACACCATGCTACAGTAAGGACCAATGTACTACATTGTAAACCTTAATTTCTTTGGCAAAGACAAATTCTTAACTAATAGAGAGCAAAGTGACTTTCTCTGACCAACAAGCAGGTGGCTATTCCATTCCATCCTCAGCACTGACCTCCTGCTGCCCAGGGAGGGGGAGTGGGGAGAAGGGAGGGTTGGGAGAGGCCTGATGTCACTCAGCCCTACATAAGGGCCTGCTTTAGGCCCCTGCAGGCAGTCTGAAGCAGCTGGTGGAATGAGTTAGATCCTGGTTGTGGATTTTTTTTTTTTTTTCATTTTTAAGACAGACACACACACACAGCTGTTGAGTAAAATGCCACCTCCACAGAAAATCCCAAGCCTCAGACCTTTCACGCAGAGGAAGAGCTTAGCTAAACTTCTTGGGGTAGCTTTCTGGGTGACATGAGAGAGAGGAGAGGATATAGCCTTCTCTTCTTGTCCGTTTATTCTTTTGTACTTGAAATATTCACAGCAACCAGACAGGAGGAAGTTGCTGGAACTCAAGCAAGGTTTCCAAACAAGATCCCAGTAAGACTCTATTGTACTTCCTTCAGGGGGGCCTGGAATCCCATTCCTGAGAAAACAAAAACCAGCCAATGGCCTCCTTCTCTCGGTTCCCAGTTCCTAAGCCACAGAGAACTCTGAGTCACATTCTTAGGCAATTGTTGCAAAAAAAGATTTACACTGAAACTCTAGACAGGTGATAGTGGAGCGCTACCCCAGAGAGAAGTTCCTGCCCCTGCTGAACAAAACCAAGTTCCTGGTCTCACAGGAGCTGACCATGACCCAGTTCCTCAGCATCATCCGGTAGATGACACGATAGTGCGTGTGTGTGTGTGTGTGCGCGCACGTGTGTGTGTGTGTGTGTGTGTGTGTCTGTGTGTGTGTGTAGTGCCTGGGCCTTTTGGACAGATGGGATCTGGCAGAGAGTAAATTGGAACAATTTATGTATTACCTTTTCCCTTCAATTGTACCTTTAAAAAGGATGATCTCATAAAATAACCTATTTTAAACAGTTGGGAAGTACCTTGCTAGCAGCCCTAAAGAAAGTGAGAGTTCCCACTGTTGATATAACAGCACTTTCTCTCTTTTTTTCAACATTTTGCTGGAGCTGTGTTTTAATTATCTAATTCCTCTGAAAAGATTCCAAAAGAATCTTTGGAAACCAGCCCAAAGAACCATCTGTTTTTTGGGTATTTTAAAAGCCCAATGACAGCATTTTGTCCCTAAGTAGCTCATTTCCCCCCTAATGGCAGGGAGGGGATTTTCAGTAAGGAAATGCTCAGTTCACCTGCTGGAATCGCTGGGCAGAGGAACCAGGCCTCCCCCGTGTCCAGCGTCCTCCTGCTCAGGGCAAGGAAAGGGAAAGCAAAGCAAATGCCGCTGACTTTACAAATAAAGCTCAAGGGATTAAAGTTGTCGTCTGCCACCTGGACCCAATAAAAAATGATATGAAACTAAAAATAGGCCATAGCGGCTCAAAATACACGTGGATGATCAGTCTCCTTGAGCTGGAAACAGCCTCTCGAAGGTTTCTGGCTGATGCAGACAGCTCCTTCAGAGCATTTATTATGGCTTTTTATGAGCTCTCTTAGGACAATCTGCATTCTCTTCTCAGACCTACTAAGAGTTAGGCTAATCCGATGGAAAACAGGGCGACTCAGGAAAAGAAATCCAAGTTTGGGCTGAGATCCCATTTCCCATCAAACTCCAGGATACTCTGGGGGCTCTACTGGCTTCACCAAAAATTGAGTTTTGACACAATTTTCCCCTTTTTTCCATATAGGTGTGCCCCCAAATTTCATGTACTCCCCGTTCTCCACCCTGGCAATATGAATTTCTACATTAATTCATTTAGGACTATTTATATGAAGCATCCATTCTGTATCAGGCACTGTGCTGGTCCATGTGCATAAACATCTTCCAACCCATAGAGTTTCCCCTCCTGGGGACTCACTAACTATATTAAAGGGAGAGGCTGGTAGAAGAAGAAAGGAAATGAAGGTTCGGTCTCTGGACATGAGAGCCGATCGCAGCAGCCCATCTTCAGCCCTGCTCTTTCCCAGGAAGAACCGGCATTGGCTCCCCGCAGGAGAACAGGGCACAGGTCAGGGCTCAGCCTCTGGCTCATCCAGTGTTAGCTAACCAGGTCCTCAAGCTATTTCCTCTCCTACCCGCCACGTAAACTTAGCCCCTCCGGCCCCTTGTCGCTGGCACTGGGCGTGTATGGGATATGCCCCTGCCGACACTGACAGTGTGAGAGCACGGAGGTGTCTAATGTATTTTATTAGTATCATTATTATTTTAATTTAATTTTAATATACCTAACATAAAATGTACCATATTAACCATTCTAAGTGTGCAGGTCAGTGGTATAAGTATATTCACATTGTTTTGCAACCATCACCACTGTCTGCCTCCAGAACTTTTTTATCTTTCCAAACTCTGGACTCATTAGACAGTAACTCCTCATTCCCTCCTCCCCCAGTCCCTAGCAACCACCATTCTACTTTCTGTCCCTGTGATTTTTGACCAAGCACCTTATATAAATGGGATCATAGGGTATTTGTCCTTTTGTGACTAGCTTCTTTCACTTGGCATAATGTCCTCAAGGTTCATTCATGTTGTAAGGTGTCAGAATTTCATTCCTTTCTAAGGCCGAGTAATATTCCACTGTATGTGTGTACCACGTTTGGTTTATCCACTCATCTGTTGATGGATACTCGGGTTGCTTCCACCAAATCCTTTAACATCTGTGCCTTGGATTCTTTATCTGTAAGTGGGGAGTCAAGTGTGATAAGGGCTGAGGTTTTGTACAAAAAGTTACGTGGTAACCAGATGTAAATTACTATTTCTGCAGTGACTGGGGAGACTTTGAAAAACCACGGGCAGGGAGGGGGGTGGCAGGAGGACTTCCTGCGCTTACAGAGCCATATTTTTTCAAAGTGAGGTCCAGTGCCTCATAATCATGCACTTCCCAGATATACTAAGTCTATGCCAGAGGGGAGGTGCCCAGAAACCGACAGTTTCAACAATCCATCTTCTGGGGAATTCTAACGCACGCTGTAGTCTGAGGACCACAGCCTTCAGAGATCGGGAGCTAGGGCATCTCATCTGGTGCAGAAATATATTTACATTGGCCACACACAAGTAAAGCTGTGATTCCAGAGCCTGTGTCCCTGGCCCCCCTCACCACCCTCCTCCCCATCCCAGCAGCCACGTAGTCCCGAGGGCCACTGAAGCCTTCTGCTTGTTGGTGAACAATAAGAACCTGCTCAACATAAATGTTACCATGGCAGAGACCTACAAGGACTGGAAGGATAAGGATGGTTTCATGTGCATGACCTACGCCTCCCAGGAGACATCAGAAGGAATGCTCCTTTTAATAAGATTAGTTTAAGCATCAGCTCTTGTACATAGAAGCTACAATAAATATTTCTTAAACAAAAATAATCTTTGAAGTTTTTTCTTCCCCTACTGGAAAGAAAAATTCCACCCTTTATAAATTTTTTAAAGTGACCACATTCACGTAACTGTGGCTAGAGGGGAGATGAACATAGTTTTTATATGAAACAACCACCTGGCCGGGCACGGTGGTTCATGCCTGTAATCCTAGCACTCTGGGAGGCCGAGGCAGGAGGATCACTCAAGGTCAGGAATTTGAGACCAGCCTGAACAATAGCAAGACCCCATCTCTACTAAAAATAGAAAGAAATTAGTTGGACAACCAAAAACATAGAAAAAATTAGCCGGGCATGGTGGTGCATGCCTGTAGTCCCAGCTACTTGGGAGGCTGAGGGAAAGGATTGCTTGAGCCCAGGAGTTTGAGGTTGCTGTGAGCTAGGGTGACGCCATAGCACTCTAGCCCAGGCAACAGTGTAAGACTCTGTTTCAAAATAAAATAAAATAAAACAACCACTAGTAAAAGCCAGATAAGACCCAATAGTGTCGTGGCCCATTTGCAGGATGGAGGATGAACACAGAACACAAAACACAAATGCAGAACACAAAGAAAAATGCGGACACACATGCAGATGGTTGACTTGAGTAAGAATACACCGGGTCAGTTTTATTTTTATACTCTAAAAAATTAAAGTTCGTTCCTTATACGTAACCACCATTTATGGCAATGGCCATAAATTCCGGAACACGTAGCCTTAAGGATACAGATGTCCCTTGACTCAAGGTTTCCAGGTGGTTGCTCTAGGTGCCAGGCATAGATCACGGACCGAGATTAGCAAGGATGGGCAAGGCAGCCACAGGAGGCATTTCTTGTCCCCAGTTTCTCTTAGAGTGATCCCCTAAGATCTTAGGCTGATCCCTTGCGGCTGTGCCTGGCTTAGGTCACACTTCTCTTGAGGGGTCTTACCCACCATTGACTAACCAGCCATCTTAGGGGGCTTAAGCAGCAACCACAGGAACAATGTGTTTATCATGTGGCCTCCAGACCCCCATTGCCGTGGGGCTGGGCAGCTCTTGCTTACTTGCCGCTCAGGTCCTTTGTTATGCCTCTAGGCAGCAACCTTGTTTATCACAGGGGCTTGTCCGGAGCACATTACTTTTAAACGCTCTGGGCAGAGCACGTATTTTACTAAATTTAATTCTTAAACCAGGAAAATATAATGTCAGTCCCCTACACAATAGTAATCAGAAAATCTGAATGTATCAGGTTTAGCATTTCATTTATTCAATTGTTATTTAATGGAAAACCTGCTCCATGCTGGGTGCAACGATTAAAGTATCCACAGAAGATAGATGATTGAAAGCTTTACACAGAGCTCTCAAGGAAAAGCTACATATTTTTGATAACGCCCCTCATAGATATCTTGCCATCAAATTTACAGGAGAAGATCTAAGTTTGGTGCTGGCAACTTCTTACCTCCAAGTCAACCATCTGCATGTGTGTCCGCATTTTTCTTTGTGTTCTGCATTTGTGTTTGTGTTCTGTGTTCATCCTCCATCCTGCAAATGGGCCACGACCACTATTGGGTCTTATCTGGCTTTTACTAGTGGTTGTTTTATTTATTTTATTTTGAAACAGAGTCTTACACTGTTGCCTGGGCTAGAGTGCTATGGCGTCACCCTAGCTCACAGCAACCTCAAACTCCTGGGCTCAAGCAATCCTTTCCTCAGCCTCCCAAGTAGCTGGGACTACAGGCATGCACCACCCATGCCCGGCTAATTTTTTCTATGTTTTTGGTTGTCCAACTAATTTCTTTCTATTTTTAGTAGAGATGGGCTTTGCTCTTGTCTCGGCTGGTCCTCAAATGCCTGACCTTGAGTGACTCCTCCTCCTGCTCCCGGCCTGCCAGAGTGCTAGGATTACAAGCATGAACCACCGTGCCCGCCAGGTGGTTGTTTATATAAAAACTATGTCTCATCTCCCCTCTAGCCACAGTTACGGAATCTGTCACTTTAAACAATTTATAAAGGGTGGATATTTTTCTTTCCAGTAAGGGAAGAAAAAACTTCAAGATTATTTTGTTTAAGAAATATTTATTGTAGCTTCTATGTACAAGAGCTGATGCTAAACTAATCTTATAAAAGGAGCATTCCTTCTGACGTCTCCTGGGAGGCGTAGGTCATGCACATGAAACCTCCTTATCCTTCCAGTCCTTGTAGGTCTCTGCCATGGTAACATTTATGTTGAGCAGGTTCTTATTGTCCACCAACAAGCCAGAAGGCTTCAGTGACCCTCGGACAACGTGGCTGCTGGATGGGGAGGAGGGTGGTGAGGGGCCAGGGACACAGGCCTGGAATCACAGCTTTACTCTGTGTGTGGCAATGTAAATATAATTTCTGCACCAGACTGAGATGCCCTAGCTCCCGATCTCTGAAGGCTGTGATTCCAGACTACAGCGTGCGTTAGAATTCCCCAGAAGATGGATTGTGAAACTGTCGGTTTTCTGGGCACCTCCCTCCTGGCATAGACTTAGTATATCTGGGAAGTGCATGATTATGAGGCCACTAGACCCCTCACTTTGAAAAAATATGCGCTCTGTAAGCGCCAGAAGTCCTCCTGCCACCCCCTTCCCTGCCCGTGTTTTTTTCAAAGTCTCCCCCCAGTCACTGCCAGAAATAGTAATTTAATCTGGTTACCACCGTAACTTTTATACAAAACCTTAGCCCTTATCACACTTGACTCCCACTCACCAGATAAAGAATCCAAGGCACAGATGTTAAGGATTTGGTGGAAGCAAACCGAGTATCCATCAACAGATGAGTGGATAAACCAAACCGTGGTACACACATACAGTGGAATATTACTCGGCCTTAAAAGGAATGAAATTCTGACACCCTTACAACATGAATGAACCGCTTGAGGACATTATGCCAAGTGAAAGAAGCTAGTCACAAAAGGACAAATACCCTATGATCCCATTTATATAAGGTGCTTGGTCAAAAATCTCAGGGACAGAAACATAGAAGGTGGTTGCTAGGGACTGGGGAGGAGGGAAGAGGAAGTTACTGTG